CCAGGGGCTGCGGGGACCCGGCCACGCTCCACCGCAGCGGTGGGGTCGTTAGAAAACAGCAAACGTGCCCAGAGGCGCCCCGGAGCTGAGGGGAGTTAGGAGAAGTGGCTGCTGTTTGTGCAGCCTCCCCAAGGCTCCAATCCTGAGGCAAGTGCAGCGCTGCTCGCCCTTCCGATGCGTATATAATGTCAGAAAACACCTCCGAGGCGGTCACTGAGGGGAGACCTTTCCTGTGACACTGCAGCCACCACGGCTGTCCCAGCTCTGCCGCGGCTCCGCCGCCGCCCCGCGCTCCTACCCCAGCGCTGACGTAGCCTTGGCTGCCGCTACCTGAGCGGGGCAGCGCAGCAGCCCGCGAGGGGAGAAGTGCGGGCCACGCTGCCAAGAACATTTTATCGTACCTAATTAAACATTAAAAGTAACTCTGTCCTTAAAAATGTCCCCAGCTTTGGAGGGCAATCAATTGGCAATCTATTTTGTTTCTGTGTGCGGGGTAGGAGAGCAGGCTAAGAACCGCCCCCAAAAACATCTAAATGCACCCACAAGACCCGCAAAGAACACCTGTGAGCACAGGGGCACCTCACCCACGTGAGGTGTTTTGCTAAGGAGCTGCGCTTGCAAATGCAGCCACTTCTGAAGTCAAGCTCTGCTCTGTTTTTACATCTCTAATGCTCTCCTTGCAAGTTTTGCTGGTCTCCTAAGTAGGTGGTTGCTTTGCACGTGTGGACATTAGCACTCCATGGGTTAGGTTCCGTCTCGAGCTTGCAAGTCTTGGAAGTGCCTCTTGCTGCTGTGTGTCATCGTGCTCACTGCGAATGACCAGCACGATGCAGGCCCTAGGCGTCCTCAGCAAAGGTGTCCTGGCAAACATGCCGCAAGGCTGACCCAGATCAAAGGGGCAGTTCAACTCCCCATCCCTCTCAAACCTTGGACTTTCTGGTAAAACCCTCAGCAAAGACGTGAGCTTTGCTGCCAGCTGTGCAATGCCGACACGTGCCGCGTTACGGCACCAAGCACCGGTTACTGCCAGGGAGCTGCGGAAGTCGCCCCGAGCCCCACGCGGCGCCCCGTGCAGGTGCACGGCCTGCCAAGCACGCTCGCGAGCTGCTGCTCAGGCCTAGGTAGCAAGTCTGTATGTTAAGCCTTTTGGTACAGAAGTGGTTAAAGAATCTGCTTTCTTTAGGATGAACTCATGGAAAAAAAAACATGCCGGGGACCGAGAGTATCTGGGGAATCTGAAGAAACAGCCCCTTTTAGTAAGCAATGTGGATCAAATGATTAAGAATCCCTTACTGTTACTGTTGAAAGCTTATGGTCAGTAAGTAAATCCTCAAAGCAAGGCACAGACAAACCCGCTGCAGCCCAGGGCCTGTGTGTTCCTGCACAGTGTTCCTGTCTAAGCCCTCCATCGGAGCAACACTACAAACCAGCTCTTCACCAGTAAATCGTGCTTTGTCACGCACATAATGAACATAACATTTATCCACACTATAGCCACAGATGTAGCCCACGTGGGTAATATAAATACGTTTGCAGTGGTACTTAACACACTTGCGCACCGCTGCATTTTTCATAAAGGACCATATGTACCAGGCCGTGCAAACATGAAGTTTAGAGTTAAAACTGCTGTTGCTGCTTTAAGTACCCTCATCATTCTCCTTCCTGATATATCCATGTGCATATACATATACATAAAAGTAGCAATTACAGTTTGACAATACCACATATTTTCCTTTCAACAGTATTTAAAATATATTTGCTTCATTTTAACAACCAGCAGCAAAGCATGTGTATTGTAAAAACTCCCTCTTAGACAAAGGAAACCCCTCTTCAATAGCTGTCATAGAGCCACCTGACAGTATTATAAAAGCTGAATTTCATTTCGTAATTTGGTGTGTTAATCCTTGTGCCTGATTTGAAGTTATATCAGTAAATCAGATATTAAGGAAAGGCAGCTGCTTCTGTTAAATAAACTCCTTTGTCTAAGACTTAAAGGGAGCAAAAAAGCCAGGTGGAGTTATTGATCTGTGAATATCAGCCGGCTGGGCCTCACAGTCAGTGGACTCCTATTTCTTCTAATTGCCAGAGCCTTCAAGGAAACTCTGACTGAGCCAACTTGTACAGAGAATTGACAGGCTGCCTGGGGATTGTGTCTCCCTGGGCTGCAAATAGTTCATTAACAACAAAGCAGAGAATCTGAAAATAAATAATTCACTGGTGCGACTTTGCTCCCATGGAAAGCAATGACAAAAATCCCTCTGACTTCTTGTACTGCATTTTATATTATACCTATTTTTACTGTCACAATACACAGCAGATTTGTTATCAATGTTATGACTGGAACATCATGAAGCTACTTTACAATTTGCTTATCACATTAGAAACTGATTTTTTTCCAACTTCCCTCCTTTTCCTCTCCAGCATTGAGAAAACAAATTATACCTCGAAGTTCAGATTATTTAGGATTTTACAGCCTCAGTTTTCATATTTTTAATTTGATTACTTTCTTGTTAATGTTTCTTCTAATGGTTATTCCTTTTCCTTTGTCTGTTTTGAACAAATACATTAAAAAAAAAAAAGTTGTGTTGCTTATATCCTATTACTTTGGGCTCTAAATGAGAGTTCAAGCATCCCAGACTTCACTACTTAATTTTGGGGACTTTCACCTTGCTCTAACATATTTTTAAAAATATCAATTTTCAGATATCATATTCATTTTCAGATACACCTTAAAAGTTGAATGTGTTTTAGGGCACCATCTTCTGGTAGAAAGAACGCATTGTATTTGAATGGCTACCTTTTGACTAGTAGGCAAGACTATTTAAAATATTTTGACTAAGTGTTCTGTAAGCTTGTAGATCATTTCTCATGCTAAATCTGCAATAAAACACTATTTAACATTTTTTACATTCTTCTTATTCCCTTCATAGCTCACTGCAAATGCAGCCATTTATCATGCTGCATGAATATAGCCAGGGAGAGACCCCGTAAAATTCCCGTTACAACAGCCGCTTTGTAAACACATTATGTTAGACTGACAATGTTCATCCAAGCTTTTAGGACTAGTGCACCATTGGATCTTACTTCTATGGTTTCAATCTTTGCTACCCTTAGATATTTCAAACAGCACTTTTGAACAAAGCAACCTATTGGCCCAGACTTAGCACATGGTCTTAGTCTTCCTGGCAATCACAGGACATAATCAGTGCTTATTCAAGTGATCTATGAACTTAATATTAGCTACTACATTTGCATAAGTTAGCCAGTTCACTTAACAGTGCACCCACTTAGCCCTCTTCAGGAAATAAATTTAGTTTATTTCAGAGACTTGAATATTTAAAACCAGATATTCTCCAGAGCTAAAGGTTGTCCCTTGGAGCTCCCCCATGGCGACAGGGCCCATAGCCCGCCGAGCCCTCAGCTGCTATGTGCAGTGGTTCCCTCCACCACTCCCTCAGCAGGCTTGTCACCTCCCTTCTGTGTGCAAAACTCCTTCTCTACAACATCTTAAGTTCTCTCCCAGGTCTATCTTGAGTCTTCCCTTTATACTATCCACAGCTCCTAGCACTTCCAAGCTTTTCGCTAGGCCTCTTAGCACCCTCTTTCACCCGCTCCCTCAGCTACCTGCCCTGCTCGCTTGGCTGATGCACCGGCTGCCAGCAGGTGCGAGCACAGCCCAGCCGGGCCAAGCTCCCCACAGGGCCCACGTTTACCTGGACAGCAGCAGTAGCTCTGAGATCACAAACGTGTTCAACTTGGAATGCTGCTGGAAAGAACTGGCAGAGCAATCCCATCCGTATCTTTTCTTTAGGAAAAATATAGTGAAAATGTCTCACTTTTCTCTCATATGTTAATTAAGTAGCATGCTGATGAGAAAAGCAAACATAATGACGTTATTTATAAACAGCAACATTCTGTTGTTAAACTACAATCAAGCTGCATCTAGATCTATACACTCTGTTGCTCCCTTAAAGAAGCATCAAGGCTCCACATCATGACATTAGACTGCCTCCTCCTCCTCTCCCTTTCTCTGTAGGTGTGTGACCTCTGTAATCATTCTGCTTAGACACCAGACAAACAATAAAACCAAGACTTCTGGCTTATATGAGATTTGTTACATTTCTTTCATCCCAGTTTTCACATTCTTGAATATTCAGGAGTACTTCAGATATTCAAAACCAAAGTCATTTTCCTTATAATTGCAAAGAGAAGAAAGAAAAATCTCCACCCAGACCAACAGAAAAGCAGAATAAAGAGGAACCCCCTTCGCCCCCTATTTATTTTCCATAGTTCATTGTTTGTTCAGTGTTTTAATCCACATTTACAACTTTCGTGTAGTAGAGATAAGGCTCAAAACAGACACTATGAGCGGTAAATACTAACTGAACACAACCTCGCTTTACCTTCTGCGATCTAATAAATGCTTAGCAAGAGGTCTTTGTGTAAAGGTCACGACTTGAACCGGCACATCAAGCTGCCTGCCAGCTGTCGGAGCCAACGGGCTAGGAAAGCATGCACATCTCTGTGCTTCAGCGCTGCAATGGTTTCACAGGCAAAATTAAAATGTCACAAAGCTCTACTACAAGCATCACAGCAATAGCTACAGGTTACAGTTGCTTTTTAAGAAATAGGCTGATACAAAGCTGCAATATGATAGCCCCAAAGCTTTTTCCCCTGACTGCAATGGCTATTAATTGCATCTTGAAGGAACAAATACTGTACCTGGATGATGGCCTGTTTCGAGGATCAGATAGGTTGTGTTTCTGTGCAAAGTTTATTTTTATGTACAGTAAGTTTGTTGGAAAGTCCTCACAAATTTCTTCATTTTAAGTGAGAAAAACTTCAGAAATCTCTACCTAACTGCTGTGCTGTGGTCAACACTCCCTTCTGTGCTCCAGTGCAGAAAAGGCATACTGAACTAATAGCATACAAAGACAGACAATAAGCTTTCAAGTAATAAAATTATATTAAGTGGTTTAATTTATAATCTGCACCCCAGAACAAGAGAAAGCGTAAATTGAATGGTGACTAGTAGGTAATTAAGGATCCTGACACTTCCATCACTTTTGGAGAAGCAACTTTTCATTTAGCAGAGGTAGTTTGCATTTTACTGGTGCACTCAGTATTACCAAATTAGTAAGAATCCAAAGAAAGAGCTGATATTAGGTGAGCCCCTGTCATATGCTCCATAGAAGCATCTTATTTAAAGGAAATGTATTAAAAACTGTCTCACTTCAAAATATTTTGCAGGAAGCATCTTGGAGCATTTATATCAATCTTGAGTATTTCTGAAGAAACAAGAGCAGCACAATTACATTTCCTAAGTACATCAATATGTATTTCCTTATGTAATTAAATTCTAGGCTACCTTTTATGCTACAAACCAGATGACACATAGTTTAAATTCTGTGCTGCTCGAAAATCTAATCTAACTGATCAGTGCCCTGCCGTGGCCCCTCGCATCCAGGATACAATGCGTGGTTACTGCTCAGCAGCCGTGCAACCTGGCTTCGTCAACTGCCCCTAGAGTACCACCAGATTCTTAGAGAAACTGTAATCTTACACTGACACTACACATCAATTGAAACACTACACAATTTAAGTAGAAGTCAGCAAAACTGAATAAAAATTTCCCGTCTTATCCTTCACCTTTTTCGCGGCCAAATTTGTTGGTGCTGCATGTTATTGTAAAAAAATGCTTGAAAGAAGCTCATATCCCATTCATCTTTCAAGTCTTTAATTGTCAACTTCAGTAAAACTGATTTGATAAAGTTACCAGAATTAAAGCTTTTACCTTAACTGCACTCCCTTAAACAGCCTGTGCAAGCAGGGAATTCTGTCAGGTAGTAAGTGAGATCGAATTCCAGACATGTCACACATGGCACCTGCTCCTCACTGTGACCTGACAAACCTCTACCACACAGCTAACAAGCAATTTGACAATTAGGTTTATAAACCAGTAAAGTTTAATTTCTAATAAAGCTTGAAAGAAAATACTGATTTTCCAGATTATCTCAACCTATCATTTTAGTGACATCTGAGATGTATGAAATTCTAGTGCTTTAATTAATTAGGGAGAAAAGTATAAAAACTCCCCATAATGTTGAAAATACTTTTAATCCTCTCATTTACATCTTTACCTCTGTCTTCACTGATGGTGGCCAAGAAGCAACTAACTCAAAAGGTTTTACAGTTTCACAGCAGAGAAGTTTATGTCTCCAGACAAGCCACTGCATATGACTATTATGACCTAAAAGAAGAGATGAAACGTTAATTGCACTGTAGAATCCACCAATTCTCCACCTCGTGGACAAATTAATACTAATTAAAAAGTGGCCTTTGTACTAGACAGAACCAGTTGCAGAACTGAAACCTAAATAATTCTTTTAAATCCTCTTTTTTCCATTATTAATAATTCAGTCATTTTTCAAACTAAAGTAGAATAAATCTCATCTGCTCATTGTCTCTGCTTTCTAAGGCCAAAACGGAGTGCTTATATGTTCAATAAAAGCAGTCTAGTTCATCGATACACCAAAATTTATAAGTAATTTCAGCATGGTGTTGGTAATTAGGATGAAGAATGAGTCTTTAAGAATTGAGACAATTTTAACAACTTCCAAAATATTTACAAAAATGCAGTAGCTTAAAGATATTGTTCCTATTCCATGTTTTGCTCTATGCACGAAGTGTAGTTCATAAAAGATCAGTGCTTTCTCTTTCTAAAAGCAAGCAGTGATGAAAGCCTTTCTACATTGTGGTGTAAGTGCTCCAGCTGAAGAGGCCAATAATTGATTGTCCAGGAAAAAAAAAAACATTCACAAAAGTTTTATTAAAAAAATCCCCTTTCACCTCAAACAAGTGAAGCTTAAGTTCTGTACTGCTAGGTTATGTTTAAAAAAATTGAAATAGTACAGTAATTTTTGAAGGCTATACATTGTAAAATCCCACAGATCATCATTAACTTGGACTGTGCAAGCAAATATAGCAAGTATTTCAGATGTCATTTATTTGGTCCATCAGATGTACAGTATAGTAGTAGTATCTGAGTTTACAAAACATCAAATATAAATAACCTGAAACTGTAACAATACACAAAAATTTGCTTCTTACACTGACATACCAGGCAGTACGAGCTGAAAAACTTGAGTAAATTAACAGTTTTACAGTAATGTACATAGTGCCAGTTGAAGTTTAAGAACACTGTTAAAACATGGCACTAATTTGCTTTAGTGAATTTTGTCTTTTACTTGAGTTCAGGGTGTGAAAAATAGTTAGAACTAGACTAAAATACTTTTCCGCAAGCAAAAAAAGCAAAATAAAAGTTACTTATACATTTGGATATCGGGTGATAACCCTTTCCTAAACCAGGGTAGTTTTCTTTGTCCTATTGAATTATACCTAAAAGGTATTTACACAAAAATAACATGCTTTTTTTTTTTTTTCTTGTGATCTTTTATGCAAATGCTTATGCGTAAATGTTCAGAGACTATATTTCTACTACATTTAATATACCATACGGAAAAACTTCTAAAGAGTCTATCAGGATGAAAGCAGGAACAGACACAAATTATTTAAGTCAGTGGACTGGTATTGTCTTGGAACAAAGGTCTTAAAATTAGTCTAGTTCTTGACATTTTTCACACCCCCAACAGAGCATACTGTTACTGTATTACACTATCTGAATCGTTTTGTCAAGGGGCACTTGCATGTTCAGTCTAATGCTATGATTTCATCTTGCTCTTCTGTCTGCTCTGTACGCACTCTCTTAGTACTGACGCACTCTTTATCTTCTAGCTTTCTCTTGCGGCTTTTATTTTCCATATCCTCATCAACGTTGCTTGAAGGACCTTCATCTTCAGAATCAACAATCAATAGATCATCTTGATCTGGAGCTGCAAAATATATGTTTTTAAATCCAATGTATACTGCAAGGATAGTTTATCCTCAACCCAAATTTCATACCACAAAACAAAAATAAGGATGTGTCTAATACAACACATCTTGAAGCATTTATTATACACATCCCTTGTCATTCATATGAGACAATACTTTTCCATTTCCCTGAAATGTACATAAAATAGGTTTTTCACATGTTTCTATCTCTTCACCTGACGTGAAAATATCAGCCATTCAGAAGTATGGAAAATGCATTAGTTATCAAGGTTTTTTTTTTTGCACAGGCAAAACAGAAGAACCGTGTACTATCTGCAGGAGTCCCTGAGGAGACAATCTTTACATACACGGAATCATAGTCCACACCGCCTTTTACTGACACACGCACCAGAAGCCAAATCTCCTGAGACACACACATGAAGAAGAAAATCAGTGGAAGGGGAAGCAGGTTTTAACAAAGAGCTAAAAGATACCCATGGAGAGTATAAAAGAGGGAAAAATACTGCCCAATAGAATCTTTTAAGAAAGCTCATCAATTCTGTTTCTTTTTAAATAAAATTCAATGTAAAAACTAATTTTATGCTATTTTCTAATATTAGTTTTTATCTAATTTTAATAAATTAGATCAATGCTCTACATTTAGCCTCCCAATACAAGTAAGATGCAGATATCTTAAATAAGACTATCTGACAAGCAAATGAACACGGTTCCAGAGCATAAGACAGAAATACAGATATTTAACTTATGTGTGTCATAACAAATATTCAGATGTACATACTATCCCTATGAACCAGTAAGGCTTTAAATGCTCAAATGTCTTGCATTCAAGTCAAACTATTCTGAATAGGTTTCAAGGTTAATATTACTGTAAACGTTTATAACAATCTTAAATTTATATCTTTATGTATGTAAAATACATATATGCATACATATATTTGTACACCAACATGCATACATATGTGTGCACATATATGCATATATATACACACACACATATATATATACACATATATACACACACAGAGCTAATTTAGATTTCACATTAGCAAAAAGAAGTTATGTCCTAATACTAAAGACAACTTACGTTTTAATTGGACTGCACTACTGAAAGATTGCATTTCATTTTGTTTAATATTCATTTCTATCACTTACCCGTCGATGTTGACGGTTGCGCTCCATCATCGCTACCATTGGTTATGTTCCTGGGTGTCGGTTCTGCAGGTTTAGGGCCAACTTTTTCAGGGGCATCACCAACAACTTCAAATTCTACATCTTTTTCTAGGTCTTCACTGTGGAAAAAAAATATTATTTTAAAAATGCTAGAATTTGCAAACTGATTTTTTCAAAAAAATATACTTCACTCAGCTATTAGAGCACCCTACAACTATGACAAAAAGGGGGGAAAAATTAAAAGCAAGGCAAGTCTGCTCGGTCCTCCTTCACAAATTAGCAAGGTTCTTTGGACTTTCTGGAATTTCTGACACATTATATTAAATTCATGATAAAACTCAAAGGTTAAGCCGCTGAAAATAAATATTGGGTGTAGTATTTTTTAACTAGTTGCTGTAGAATGTTTTTTACTAGAATAGTAGTTGCAAAGAGTATATTTTATTTGATTCAGTATGTTCATTGCATAAGGTAAAAACGCAATACAAAACTATATTTACTTTTGAGACTACCAGTAAGTGAGAAACTGCAAAGGATTTAAAACAAACAGTGTCAGAAATTACAGATAGAACTACTTAAAATATATACATGAAATAATTATTTCAGAATCCTTACCTATGAAGCACATTGATTAACAGAGTATAGTCCTGGAGGAAATCATCTGCTTGTAGTCGAGTGCCATTTCGAATTCCAAAGTCTGATAATTTCCTATGATTATTTGCTAGAAAAACAGTGAAATGTTGTGGTACAAATGGGTTAATATATTAAGATTTTACTTAGTTTTAAAATTCAAAACTATCCTTTACATCTGAACAAATTTGATGAAAGGAGTACTCCAGAAATTTTATGTAGAGAAACAAGATTAATGTTTACTACCTATATTTAAAGGAAAAAAAATGACGTTTAAGCTTATATGGAGTTAAATCTATATGTTTGACTTAGTTACTTCTGGTGCATCCTTACATTTAGGAATGTTTAGCATCATTATTACATTCAGAAATGTTTTCTGGAGAAAATATTTGTATTACAATGGGGTCTACAAGCATCAGTCGTTCATTTTAAAAAGATCCTATGTAAGAACCTAAGAACAAGAAGAGGAATGGGCTTTCAATTAGGAGGAGCTAATGGGAGCACTTCTAAAGCTGAACATTGACTCTTGAAGGAATTCTGATGCTCAACGTGAAAGCACTTTATACAGGAAAGCTCAACACTACTTATAGGCGTGCAGACAATACTACCAGTTATTCTCAAGCCATTTACATACATGCAGGTCCAGTTCTCTTCAAATATTACTCCAGAGAATGTACACTTAGAAATATACTATAATTACATGCTGTACTTCTTAGATACTTTCTAGTTTCTATTTATTCTTATTTAAAAGTTTTAATATGCATACCTTCTGTTTCTCCTTCTTCGGAAGAGATAAGAATAGTTCCTTTTCCATCATCTATTTGTACATCTGGTGCTACCATAGCAAATTTTTCTTTCACTATCTGAAAATATGAACATGATTGTTATCATCTTACCTGAAACTACTTATGAAGGAAATAACCTTAAATAATGGTGGTTTTCCTATCCTAGCCCAGGCTCATTAAAGCATCTGCTAAAAGCTATAAAATTACTGTTTTTTTTTCTCTCATAAACAAAATAATTATCTTTTTGCAATCTGAAGCCACAGATCCAGCCACTACAGACACCACCTAAAAACCCTGTAATTTCTCCTTTAGAGGTTCAGCCATTATGCTGAAAAAAAAAAAACTTCCAAAAAAGTACAGAATTACAATTCAGTTTTTATTACAACACTATAACCTGGCTATTGTAATTTTAAAATGAAATACAACTCTTCTTTGCTGTTAGATGCAAGCAGGCTTTAAAATATCAAAGAATTACAAAATACAAGTATTCTTACACAGGAGTCAGAAGGGCACTGACTAATCTAGCTTTTATTTTGTCTAAGAGAAATGCAAGTTACAGAGCAAAAACAAACAGCTAAAGTATAGCGAATAATCCATGTAACAAAACAACTTCATTCATGTATATTACAATCAAAATAAAAGCTGTAGATAACAAGATTTACCTTATCTTGGAGCGTTAACACGGTAACTTTGTGTACATTAAGTTTCACAGTCACTTCTGGTTTACTTGCACAAACGTAACAGTTAGGATTTGGTGGATCCAAAGCACAAGGGACCAATAGCTTCTTTCTGGGATTTGGCTGCTTGTTCAGAAAAATCTTGAAGGAAGAAGAAAATAAGTTATTCGTTAAGTAACAACACTAATAAAACTTGGTTTCCTAGAGATTTATTCCTAGTCTCACAGGATGTTCTCTCCCCTAGTCCTCTTTGACATGCCTGTTGAGCAGGAGAAAGTGTGCGTTATGGCCAGCCCGCAATGACACCTCTTCTCATTGAGCAACTATTGCCAAACAGACACGTAACACGGGACAGTTGTGTTTCAAGCAGGGTTGGAGTCTGGTTCTCTCCCTCCCACCCAGCAGTCAATTTTCATGAGATGAGAAGGAACTTCAGGATCCTTGAGATTTCCATTTCTCTTTCTGAGCTGAAACTTCCCAGCACATTCAGGATCTACTGGGGTAACAACAACTGACAGAGAGTAAAACTGCACACTAGTCAAAGCAGGTTAAGCACAACTGTTAAATACATAATGAATAACAACAAAATAAAAATATCTTATTCCCACTTACCGTTCTACACTGATCTATTTTTCCTGATAAAATCTTCAAACCCTCCAGCACTATCAGACCAGCTATTACTGCATTAGTAGTAGCTATAGCTGGGATAATATTTCCTGCCATTGCTGCAAAATAAGCAAGAGTATGCAAATTTTTAACAGTAAATGAAGACTACAAAAAATAGGTATCTTTCTATTTAAGTGATGGTATATTTTATTCTTACATTTGATGTCAAATCTGCTCTTCATATTCATACTGAAAACATGCATCCTGAGGTTTGCAGCAGAAGTGACAAAATCCATTGCAGATGGATCATCCTGACAAGAAGTTAATGCAAAAGTATTTAAAATCAGATAACATACTGGAAAAAAAATTGCAACACATGGTTTCTAAATTATTATCTTAAAGAGAGATACATCTCTTATTATACATATCTCTTTAGAGATGTACAAATCCAGTTCAGTGTTAATTCACTCTGTCTCTTTCAAATGTATGTCCAGGCAGTTTCAATGTTGTGTTGATGATTATTTCTGAAATTGTGTTTTTTAAAGTTTTTGAATTAAGCTATTACCTTGCACCTCAATACTTAATTCTTAGATAAATGAGTAATAAAATATGAAGTGTCTAAAGTATAGACAAAAAGTGTTTTCTATGAGATGCCAGACATTTTTGTAGTACTATTTTGTTAAGTACTGTAAGTATTATTTTGGACTGAAATTTGAGAGTCCAATAATATTTGTTCTAAATACATAGCATATAAGTGGTTCCTACGTATTTGGGGAACTAACCTTATCCCATATAAGTTCTGCTCCATCACCCTTCTCAGCTAGGTGAAGTCTCAGGGTTTCAACACTCTTGGAAAATAAGTGTGCATAGCTCTTTACATCCAGAACCTGCTGATCCTTCAAGACTGCTGAGGACTCGTTTTGTTGGTCAGACACACTCTTCTCTTTGGGGAAAGAATAAATAATTAAGACTAGGAATATTTAGAAATCTGACAAAAGTTCTCTTAAAGGACTAAGCTTTCCAGTTTCAGTAAAATTAAATGTTTACTAAACCAAAAAAACAATGTCCTTAAACAACAGTAGTCCCACCGTTTTACAATAAATCTGCATTTAAAACTGCAGTCTAAAGCTATCCTTACATCGATTGCTTGGAGATACACTACTCAATAGCAACCATGAATTTCCAGGCCAATTTGACAAATATATTTGTGTGTATGGAAAAGAGTCCCAGAATAATACAAAAAAAATGCTGGAACCACAGTCAAGTAAATATGTTCATTGTCAGTTCTCAAACTTTGACAGTGAAAAAATGTTCATATCACAGAGATGCACTAACTAACAGGAGGTATGACCTACAGATATACAAGGGGAGGGGAACAATTACCTTGATTTTGTACCTCAGCCCAGTCTAGCGGCACTGGAGGCTTTCTCTTCCTCCATAGCTTATCCATTGTCAGCAAATACCTAATGTCATCTTTGAAAAGCTGGGAAATATCCAAAACAAAAACAAAACAAAACAAAAAGAGAGAGAGAGAGGAGAAAGAAAACAGACTTAAGTACTTTACTTTTAATCTGCTTTGAAGTTTTTGCTTTTCATCTTCATCCACATAAATAAATCAGACGACACAGAAGAAAAGTTACAAAAAAGTTCTTATTTCTCATCGTCTAACACTTATTGCATCACACAAAGGAGACAGCTCTGATTTTTTTTTTTTTTAAGTAAAGTAAGTCAAGGAACAATAACCCAAGCAGTGGGTATATCTGCTTACTGAAGCCATCATTGCAACTATTTTAATACTCTCCCTGAGATATTCTTCTCTGGATGTTAATGAACAAACTTACATCCAATTCCAAGGAAAATGGCTACTGTCCATCAATACATACTCATACTCTCATATTCTTTTCCCATTCACCCCCCTGCTGGTAGCTTTTTAGAAGAAAATCTCCTAAAACAGCTTGTATTTCCTTATGCCAGGGTCTGATTATATACTGGAGGTGAATGACAGCCACTTCCCCCTCAGACTGCAGTGTGATGAGGCGCACTGAAGACCCTATAGGATTCAACAGTTTTTATTTTTTATATTAAAAATAATCCAAATGAAGGTTTCTGTGTACAATATGGAACCAGCTGCTGCAGCAGTAGTACAGATGTAGATCGAACACCATAAAAGTCACGTGTTGTTAATACCAACACCAGCAAAACTAGTGGAAGCCATGACATAATTGCATAATCAATGGCTACCAGTAAGCATATAAACTGTGTTTTGGGTTAACTTTAAAGCAGTTCACACACTTGAATACAGACATTTACTGGGGGGAAAAACAATACCTTAGTAAAAAGTTTAACTGGATCATATCCAGTTGATTTAGCCCACTCCTTAGTTGAAACACGTTTAATCTCACCATCTTCATTGGATGCTCGCGCTCTGGCTTCTGCTTCTGCTGGCTCCCCTATTAACAGAGTGTTAACTAAGTATTTTAATTAAAAAACAAACAAACAAAAACACGAATCCACAACCAAATATTTCCCCTAGAATCAACAAACATTACACAGGGACCACAACATGGTCCCTACCACTTTAGTACTTTATCCACGTAAGAATCAATCTGTTCACAGGCATATCTAATATTGTTGACCCTAACACACCACTGATACCCACTGCATTTAACCAACATTACAACCACTGCTAGTTTGCTCAGTACAGACATCGGCCTACAGCTCCATTCCTGGAATTTCCCTGGAATACCTCCTTAAAAATTAGCATGGCATCTGCTATCTTAAAGTCTTCCAGCAACAATTGTTATAACTTAGTTACGTGCCACTCTCGCAAGGTTCAGTTATTCCACTCTGAATTTCCTGGAGGAATACTGGTAAGTGAATACTATCTGCTGCTGAGAGGACCTGAAGTATCAGCAGATCCCCTAACCTTCCTCTCTCAAACTCATGCATCTGTCAAAGGTCCAGAAAAAGAAGCAGAAGATACTTATTCACCTTTACAGCAACTACAGTTATGGGCATTCAAAAGATACAGGACAGGTTCAAAAACATAACTAAAAATGAGCATATACCCTGTACATATGAACACAGAAGTATTTCAGACCAAAAGCAATCACACATGATCCCTGTTCTTCTTTGCAATCCCTCAGTTAGGAGTTAAAAATGAAGAGCGACTACAAATACCACTTAGTTCTCTGTCCTCAGTTCAAAGGACAAGACTCTCCGCTGCAAGGAAGGAAGCATGCCCTCACACCCAAGTATAAAGGACCTCCATCCCATGGAGACCAGTATACTTAATTTTCACTTCCAGCTCACTTTGCATTTCAGATTTCTGTACACAGAGTAAAGAAAGTTGCTCTACATGCAACAGGAGTCTCTGAATACACAGTGAAAGCCTCTTTTATCTAAATCATACAATTTACCTCGGATGTGTTAATCCAAACTTTATAATTAGTAGGAACATGACTGTTCCTCACAGCTGCTCTACCCAGATTACCTCTGACAAAACTAATAAATGCCAATGACCTGCATGACACTGCAGTAAAAACGTTTTCACAACAGCTGAACAAATCATTTTATTAATTTTCAGACTGCCCACACGACAGTTCTGATAACAGACAATGGTCATCTTGAAGAGTATTTTTTGCACACTGACCACACTTAAACATCTCTGACATTGTACATATCAAGGAATCCAAAAGACATTGGAATTGTTTTATATTTCTATTAAGTGCTAGCAAGCAGGCAATGAATTACCTATGGTGAACAAAAAGGTCTAAGGAAAATTACTGTTAACACACTCCAAACTCATGCAGTACATGGGCACTTGAAGTGGAATCCTTAGAAAAAAACAGAGCTTAACTGCCCAACTTTAACTAACTTTAAGAAATGGATGGAAACAAGTCATGATTTCTGAAACAGAACTTTAGTAAATAGGCAGTGCTCAAGTAAGCTACCAGTTTATATCACACTCACAGGCAGCTTCAGGATCAGCTCTGTCAGGAGAGACTTCTTGATCAGCATCTTCTTCTCCAAAGAGCTGGCTGTATGAAAATTAAAAACAGAAACATAGCACTAGGTTTTCATCATATCTAATTAATCACTAAAATATTTCCTAATTGATGTGCATCCATTTGAGAATTCTTATTAAAGCACCACTTCATATTGAAATTCACCACATGTAGACTTAGTACTGACAACACAGAAAATACTATAAAAATTAAGTAAAATAGATTTATGCAACTTATTCAATAGTTCATTTAGCTTTACCTGTATATTGCAGTACTGAATGAATTGCCTATATCACCTCTGTAAAATCTTAGCAAATTTTACAATCGTGGATACAATACTTACTCTGAAAAATGTGTTAACTTCACAGGAAATAAGTGAAGGATAAAGTAAGTTCTTAACAACCCAGACTGCTGTACCAAATTTTTCTGCCAGGTTTTCTGTGATAGCAGAACAAGCCTCAGTACTAACAGACATGTTACTTTTTTAACAAACACACTGATAAAACAACAGAAAGATTTCTCAATAATCCACAATAAATTGAAAAAAATGTTTTCGTTTTGTTTCTCAGACTATTGGTATCCAATTAAAAAAAAAAAAAAAAAACAGAATGAATCACAGTGAATCACTATTTTCTTTAAAAATGACTTACTTGAACAAATACTTAGCCCACACAATGCAATGGATAGGCTCTGATGGTGTATTGCGGATTGTGCAGCCTGGAAAAGTCTTCTGAGTTGGTTTAGGATGACATTCATAACATTCTGTCACTCCCTGGGGAAAAGTGAAATATTTATTTGCCACACTGTGAAGGCTACTGATAGTATATGCTATTATCAGATGAACTGGAGGTGTATCTCAAAATACCCAGCACCTGGCTGTCTAAAATACCCACTGATTTAAACTTAAAGTGATAGAGCAATAAACAACCTAACCTTTTTAATAACTGTTACTTGTCCAAGGTAGCCTGCGGTTCCACTCTCTATAAGGGGAACATCAGCAGCCAGACACATCCTGTTCACATGGTTACGAGCAGCTGCAAAAGGAAGAATTTTCAAAAAATTTAAATAAATAGAGAAACGATTGACTTGTCTGGACTCAAACTAGCCTCTTATGCAAGTATTTATTTGGAATCTGCCTCATTTCATCATACGTAGAAATTACGTCTTTTTAATTTAGCCCATCTTGCAATTAATACAAAATAAACTGTCACTATTAAATACACCAAGCTCAACTGAAAATGTATATATGTACTTACAACACTTATTTCTTCCCGTAAAAGAGTAACATCAAAATTAATGTTTACTTTGTAACAGCATTGACTACACTTTAAAGTTTATAGCCAAAATATTAATAGCTTAAGAGTTTAATACGTTAATTTCTGAGTTAACTGACATTGCAGAAGTAGCAATAGTATTTTAATTTCAAATATAAAAGTATAGGGAAAAATTCACCTCTGTTATCCAGAGCATTCATAACCAATGTAAACTGGCGGAAGAACTCTACATTATAGTCAGGGCTACAGAAAAGAAAAACAATATTCAAAACAGTATACGAAACTTGTTGATCATTATGCCATTACAGAAACTACCTGCATTCAAAAGTAGACTGAGTTAGTAGACTACTAATCTACTAGTAGACTACTACTTAGTAGACTAAGTTATTCACGTACACACACACACACACACACACAGACTTCATGGGTTGTTTTAGATCATGGGCTCAACATTCCCATTTATTTTCATCCAATTATTGCTCAGAACATCTGGGAATCCTCACAGTGTAGAAACTTCTATATTAACTGTTGTTAATAACAGGGAAACTTGACACAACAAAAACTTTAGCTCCCTATCAAAGCATAAGAAAATTCATGGAAAGTCCATATTCCCACCCAGGTGTATGGTAGTGTTACATTTACATTGTAGCATTAAATAAGCCACTATTTGCAAATCAAAACAAGTAATTAGAACTTAAAAAAAAACATACTTCATGATGCTATCATGATAAGCTATAATATTAGCTTCTGGACAAAACTGTAAGACGCTTTCCTTGGCAACCTAGAAAAGAGAAAAAAAAAGAACAAAATGGGCTTATTTTGTCTTCTTTTTAAAGCTAAGTGCTCTAGCTTACTAGCACCTTGGAGCTTGCAATACATTTAAATGAAGTGGGTAGCCACAATGAGCCCAACACTTACTTTAGCAACTCTTCCACATAGAAGACAAAAATATTATAAGCAGGAGCACATATAGTATAAACACGGTTGTGACATATTTCTAACACTGACCATGAAATAATAGTACCGAATAAGAAAGACTAACTTTTTTTCTCACCTGTGATTTTGATCTTCCAACATGTTTCTTTTGAAATAAAAACTGCCTGTTGAGATTGCTGACATCAATAGTATCCAAATCAATCTGTAAAAACACAAGAGGCAGCCATTTCATTTTAAAGAAGTAGAAAGGAAAAAATCATTACTTGACTTTGAAACAACTGTGACTGAACAAAGAACATGAACTTTATAGCTGCATTTTCAGCACTGCATACAGATAGTTATTACATTTGCATTATTGCGGCCATTGAAGCAAAGTTGATTAGTTGATCGTCTTCAGGAATAGCCAGATTTTAAACAATTATTCATGATGCAAATGTATTTCAGAAATAAGGGCTACATGACAACAAATTGATTAGAAAGAGTCTCTGCTAAAATGCACGGCACATGTTGAGATACACACGTGGAGTGTTAATATCGGGATTTTTCTAGTTAGCATCAACAGAGACACAAGGATCCGCTGGGAACACTACGGACGCATCCAGGGAGGTGCTGCAGACGCGAGCCCGGCTGCAGCCAGGCTCTGCAGCCAGCTCCCTGCTGAGCACGGGCTCTCTGCCACGCTTGCCCCAAGGCCTGGGGCTGCTCGGCAGACTAGCTAGTCCTTCTGCTTCGCATGTGAACACAGCTCTGAGCAACCGAATCAGCACACCCGGGGCTGCGTTTCCTCTCATTCACACATTGCGGGACAAAAAACTTTCACTATTCGCTACCAGGACCAACTGCTTCCATGCACTCTACAAAATTAGGAAGTCTGGTTACAAAGAAGTACAATCAAGACACTTAAAATCGGAACACCCAGAGTGCACAACCTCAAAAAGTTGCACCCTTAATTTCCCAGAGCCAGGTTTCTATTTATCATATGCACATGAACTTGGTGGTTTACAGTGGCTTTACTTCCCCCTTGTATACAATCATGCTAGAATTAAGAAGATTTAAATAGAACCATGAGAAGAACTTGAACTGTTTTCAAACCTTTGTTGCTGCTACTCTAAGTCAAAAAAGTTTATCTTGCCAATTGCTGCTGTGAAAGGTCCTCTCCTCTCCCATCCCTAGCAAGGGCGGGGAGAAGAGTTTTCTAAGCCTCAGTAAGACATTTTAGACTTGAGAACCTTCTAGAAAGCCAAATGTTAATATTCTTATTTCAGGCATGGATTTTGTCTAATTTTGTCCTCACAAATAAAAGACACATGGCTCTATCAACCAAGCATAGTTACATATTTCTGAACTATACATTCAAAACTAATTTTTATTATTGCTTTTGCTAACAATAATAATAATAATAAAGGAAAAGTCTGCCATGGCTTTCCTCGCCCCTCAAAAAAACAAAAAGTATTTTCTTGCATCCAAATGTATTAGTGTTTTTTAATCAAGGAAAACCTATAAAAATCACAGTCAGTAAGAAAGGCAATTTCTTTTCACGATAGCAGAACTCTTTTTATATAACAATTCATTCTTTGGGCCTCATCTTGTCCTTTGCCATCCATTCTCTACATTACCAAAATGCTACATTCTTGCATAAAACACTGCCAAATAATACTTTTAAAAGATCATGGGCCTGATCCAACATCTACTTAAACTGATGGAGTCCAGCCAGGTTGGACCTGAGAGTGCAGTGCAGAAAATCCCAGCGCAACACGTGAAACAATAAACATGCCCCAATCAGCTTCGTGCTGGCAATTAACCGGGAAACGAGGTTTGCAGTGACACGGGAAGGGAGGGAAAGGAGCCAAATAATACTTTTAAAAGATCATGGGCCTGATCCAACATCTACTTAAACTGATGGAGTCCAGCCAGGTTGGACCTGAGAGTGCAGTGCAGAAAATCCCAGCGCAACACGTGAAACAATAAACATGCCCCAATCAGCTTCGTGCTGGCAATTAACCGGGAAACGAGGTTTGCAGTGACACGGGAAGGGAGGGAAAGGAGGGAAGAGCAGCGCGGGCCTCTGCTTTCCCTCCCGAGCCGGACTCGGGGAGTTGGTGCTGGCGCCGGCCGGGCTCCCCGCGGGCTGCGGGGAAAGGGGCAACGCGGGCAGAGCCCGAGCGGCTCCTGCGCGGCTCAGGAGGC